CTCTATGACTAAGTTGAAATGCCTCGTTTCCAGTAAAAAGGGTTTCCGATTCTCTGCACTCACCATACGAAACACAGCACCATGGTGGTACTATTTTACGTTGGTATTCGGTGAGAACGTGGTCCTTCCCCGGTCGAGCCGACCAATTCGTGCCCTACCACATAAAAAAGACTACCATTTGTCTACTAATCTCATCGTAACCCACTGCTTTGGATTTAGTTTAATTTTCAATTGCTAAAATTTATATTTTTGACCTGATGATCAGCCTGAGAAACGGAAGAAAAATTTAAAGTAAAAATGTAAGGAGTTTGCATAAAAGCAATGGAAGCCAACGCTTGGGAACGATTTGTATGGTCCATTGCTTTTGTAGAAGCAAAATGTTGGTTGATTTTATCAATTTATAGAAACGGACCATAAACCAATGTTGCTCGATTGCAGAGACCGATAGAACTAGAAATTTTCACAATTCCGTGAATGAAGAGTTATAAATACATTTATGAAAAGTCCGTTATTTATCTGCACGTACAATCTGCATACACCTATTCGTGGATGCATTGAAGGATAATCAATTCTCCATAGGACGTTTTTTTTTAAATGAAGAAAAGCACGATTTCGTCTAGACGTTGCAACCCTTACACCATCTGTTTTTCATGGGGCAGGAGGATGCTCAATTAAACCTTTTTAAGTAGAGCATGAGCATCATAAAGGTTAAGAATATTTTGATTAAAAATGGAGACTGTCATCAACTGTAGGTGCTGCAATTATAAGACGCCCTCAGTTCACACAGTTTGTCAGCCAAATCTCGAAAAGTATCTTGAAAACTAAAATAATATGATGACAGATTTTAGTAAAGAACTTGCAAAGCTTATTTTACTAAGTGCCAGCACTGAAAGTGTTAAAGATAAAAGAAACAAATATAAAAACCGTAGTCCCTCGGCCTACACAATTTTTTATATACATTAGCAAAAAATCCTTAATGAAATTATTTAAATCGTACGTTTTTCCAGTTAAAATTTTAGTGGAAGTCTTGAAGAATTTTGTAAAAAGAGAAATAGGGCTAAATATTGGCACAATTTTAAGATAAATACTATGAAAATTTGTCTCTCAGGCCACACGTCTGAAGAAATATATTGTGTTCTAACTTTTTTACGATAGTAATATAAGAAGGCTTACCATTTAGTAAAAAATCTTGGAATAAAGGAAAACTCTAAGTGTATATTGATAACCTATTAACTAAGACAATCACATTATAATAATTCTATTGAAAAGCACCGGTTAGCGTGACCATACAATGATATTATAGACTTCCTCTCGAATTTTGCCACCCCTAGGGTTTGAATTCTGTTACTTAATTCATATAAAATCACTCCTGAAGTAAAACCTATTTAATAAAAGAAGAATCATCAACATCGGTTCACAAACACAAGTTTTCATAAGTCTATCAAAAATCCTATAACTTTAAACGAGCAATTCTTGTATATATATATATATATATATATATATATATATATATATATATATATATATATATATATATATATATATATATACCTACAAATTCCGATTATAATATATATATATATATATATATGTATATAATCGGAATCTCGGAAACGGCTCCAACGATTTTCATAAAATTTTGTGTGCAGGGAGTTTCGGGGGCAATAAATCGATCTAGCTAGGATTTATTTTTAGAAAATGTCTTTTTGTTCGTGTTTTTAGGCAATGAAAAACTGCTAAAATATCGTTAGAATAAGAAGGTAAATTTTGATGATTTATTAATGATTACAAATAGCTTAATTGGTATATCGGGCGGTCACAAAATCGTAATACCATGGTTCGAGCCCAGACCGACCAACCGACTTTTTTAATTTTTTTTTTTCAAGTTCCTTTTTTTTTGAGAAAATCTATTTTTTCGAGCCCTTTTTTTAGTACTTTTTAAAAACACAACTATTTAAATTAAACTAATTGCACTCATGATTTTTTCATGAGTGCAATTAGTTTAATTGATTCAAATGACCAGTTCAGTTTTTTTCTATTATGTCGCTAAGATCAAAAAATATTATTCGTATTTCCAAAACACACGAATTAAAAAAAAACCGAGCGAAAAATACCGAGCAAAGCTCGGTCAACCGGGTATTTTAATTTAATTGAAGGGAATAGGTGAATTACATATGAAAAGATTAAACACACGAACACTTTAAAGTTTAAAAAGCCGCTGAAAAAAGTTTACATTGCCATAAGATATGCTAGCAGCATGTGAGCAGGGCGTAAGCTGCAGGGCCTATTTGGCGGGCAGGAAAGTGTTTATATAAAATAACATTGTTTAAAATAAAAAACCTATTCCAAAGACCCAAACACAATGATACATCAGGGTCTTTATCTAGGAATTTTTCATATTTTATGAAATAAGTTAACGTAATTTTTTTCTATAATTTTTATTTCTATTAATCAAAGTAATCACCATGGAATCGATACATCTTTAACAACACAGTTGCGGTTATTGATGCTCTTCTTGAAGGAATCGTTTTGTACTGCCTCTCGGGTATTGAATTTTTATCGCGCCAAAAAGTTATCCGAATTCTGGAAAAGTAGAAATTTGTAGGCGCAAAGTCCGGTGAGTATGAAGGATGACATAGAGCTTCCAACCCCAGCTCCTGTAACTTGGCGACTGTCTGTTGTGCAGTATGAGGACGCGCGTCGTCGTGCAGGTGCAACGGGAACGAGCGATTGACCAAAGCTAGTTGGAGACGTGCGAGCTTCTCTATCATTGAGTTCAGTTCTTCAAAGTACGCATCTGCAGTAATGCTCATCCCCTTTGGTAAGAAGCTGTGATGAATCACACCGAAGCTAGACCTTCAAACAGTGACCATCACTTTTCTAGAGGTAAGTCTTCGTTTAGGGCATTGTTTAGGTGCTAAACCAGGATCTAACCAACTTGCAGAGCGCTTGTGATTGTCAAACAAAATCCATTTTTCGTCGAAGGTAACAATGCGGTTCAAAATTCCTTCGTTTGTTTGCCTGTTGAGCAGTGCAAGGCACATCTCGACTCCTACTTCGCGGTGACGATTACTGAGTTTGTGGCGTACCCATTTGTCATACTTTTTACCTTGCCCATTTGACGCAAATGGCCCAACATTGTTTTGATGCTAACGTCAAAAGCTGTTGCTAATTCAGCCGCAGCTTGAGCATCATCAACTTCCACAGTCACCTTTAATTCGTCACTGTCGACTAAAGTTTTCGCACGACCACGGGGTTCATTTTTCAGGTCGTAATTACCAGAACGGAAGCGGGCAAACCAATAAGAGGTAGTGCGTTCTTATAGTATTCGCTCCGTAAACATCGTTGATGTTCCGTGCCGATTGTGGCGCGTTGCTGCCACGACGGTACTCATATTTCACAATTACTAGAGTTTTTAACGTATCCATGATCAGTAATTTTCTCTGGAGGCATGCCTCGCGAGGCAGGCCGAGCCGTCGTAAGTCCCCGAGCATCCGAAATGGACAGGTGTGTAATTGCAGCTACAGCTACTTTTTTAGTTGCTTATTGTTTTAAAAAACGAAAACAGTCACGTTTTAAGAAAAGACCAAGACGCTTCTGTATTAGAAAACTTTATGAGGGACGCAACCAATATGGAAATAAGTTACTTAATGATTTAATATATGATCAGATTGTACATTCATTGAATTAAGCGAATCGGCACGTCCTGATTGATCATGATATTATATAAGTAAAGTGACTTTTCAGTAAAACTAAAATAAACACTATCGTATCGCCTCGCGAGCCAAAATACCCCCGCATGCACCAAATGAACAGCGATCTCTGAGGCACCTTTGAGCATCATTAACTTCCACAGTCACCTTTAATTCGTCACTGTCGACTAAAGTTTTCGCACGACCACGGGGTTCATTTTTCAGGTCGAAATCACCAGAACGGAAGCGGGCAAACCAATAAGAGGTAGTGCGTTCTTATAGTATTCGCTCCGTAAATATTGTTGATGTTGCGCACCGCTTGTGCCGCGTTCCTGCCACGACGGTACTCATATTTCACAATTACTCAAGTTTTTAACGTATCCATGATGATTGATGATGAAAACGATTCAAATGCGATAAAAATATAACGCAATGACGAATTTTGAAAAAGGAATTCGTTGTTTTTAAAATAAAATTAATTTGAAATTAGAATTCTTAACCAAACAAAATTGTTTTGATTTGAAATGGCCAGTAATGCAGAACGGCAATTTCGTAATTAAAGATCTATTTATATGTAATATTGCATAGAAGAATTTTTTATAGTTTTAGTTCGTTGTAGTCAGTGTTTCGTTTTAATTAAAAGTTGACTTTTTTATCCTTTTGAGAAAACAAAAACATATTATCACAATAAAATGTCGTCTAAATAGATACTTTAAAAACTTTATTGTTTATTTCGTCACCGATTTTGATGATTCTTTGTAAATAGGACGATACATCAAAATCGGTTCATAATTCACAAAAATTTCATGTCACATACATACAAAAAACAAATAGTTTAGTAGAATTGTAAAACTCCACCTTTTGAAATCGGATTATAATAATTATAGACGCATGAAACTTCAACATCAACTTCTTAGTTTCGCAAAAGTACCTGAGCCTGGTCGGAAGCACGTATAATAAATTTCATAAATGTAAACGAAATTTTTGGCCACATTTTTATAGCATTATTTACAAGCTTAGAAACAAAAGACTACTTGCTAAATTAGGCTAGAAGACACTCGATATAAGAAAGTTATATATTTTTAAATACTAGCAATGCTATCATTACTAAAATTCCTTTTATCAACTCCTAGTAACTTAAAATGCTTGTGTTACGATTCACGATAGTAGTCGAATAGCGGAGCCCTCGTAGTTAGCGGTCCCATCTCCCTGCACCAGCACTATCGCTGAAAATCAATCAAGCTTTCTCGTATTGCTTGTAGTCGGTTCAAGCGATACTCATATGATGAAATGGAGTGACGAATTTTCTCATGCCACCATACTCTCTACAAAGTATGTACTTGCAAATAACTTGAACTGTTGAAACAGTAATTCAATACAATCCAATCAAAAGACTAATACCGTATACAATAATATAAAATAGTCTTACCGTAATTGCAGGATACGATCCGACATAGCCCTGTAAAGAAAAAAACACAAACAATAATAGGAATAGAAAAAATCTGTTGACAATATACTCTCTAACTGATATCTAATGAACTCTCTCACTGATTTTTCTGTCCTCGTGGAGGACGTGCTAAATTAGCACTTAAAATTGCAATTACTAATTCTAATTCGTTCTAGTACTGTATTACTGTTGGGAATGCTGTAGTGTTGTGAATTATACGATAAGCGCTTTGCCCCTGAGTCATTTTATAATTTACATTTAGTCTGAACGGTGAATGAAATGATGATGATAAATTTGCTCGCAAATAAGGTATAATTTTGAAGGCAAGATTTCTATAAAATTTATATTATCATATGGTTAACTCAAACCATCCAAAAACAAACAGCGGAAAGTCTAAACTTCTTTTACATATTATGACGATATGTAACTGTACGTAGCAACGCTTAAAGGATCTAAGCCACTTATTGATCATTCATGAAAAAAATTTTAAGTCAAGATTCTACATTTTCTTAATTATATTTATCATAATTATAAAACAACTGTATTACTGTGTAAATACAATACGACACAACAAAAATACTTACTGCTTAACGGACCTTAAATTAATATTACGAACTGGCTTCGACAGCAAATCAAATTCAGTTTGCAAGTTGAATGTCACGGACGAAGCTAAAAATAAATGAAAAAATAACAGTAAATAACGATTTGATTTTTTTTTTGTAATATACGATACGATCAATTATGAGTTATGACCAAATCTTACTTCCTGGATTTTTGTTTGAATAAAAGTTTATGTTTGGTCTTTCAAAGGGCTTTTCTGAAATATATTAAAAAATTACATGTCATGTAAATAAATTGGATAAAATACACTAGTAAATATAAATTAAAATATTTTAGGTATTATGAATACATAAAATATTTTAATCATATAATATACCTATGAATTATGAATTCATATACAACATATGAATATAAATTTATGAATTATGAATTCTGTAGATTTTTTGAAATCTACAGAATTCTACATAATGACACACGAGAATAACAAATGAACGCCGTAGTTTCATTTTATTAGAGAACCTTATTTATTTAGAAGTAAACAAACAGGCTTACAATTCACCTAATATTAAAAGGTTGTTGTGACACATTTACCTTCAATTAAAAATCAAAATGCAAACGCGTTATCACCCGTGGGAACTAACATGCAATGCATTTCTTTAAGCATAATGCCTTTATAAAAAATATGGTAAACATCATGATAACTTTTATTAAAATTTACCGACTCTACTGCAGCAACAGTTGTGGTGCGGTGTGTGTTCACTTTCAGCCCTCAACTGCAACAAATTAAGTTAATTATAATCACAAACAGAGGTGAAGGAAGGGAGGCCCCTAACTTTAAAAGATGGTAGGACTACTAGATTAATCCGTTAGTCCTTCTGCGTAGGTCTCATATATATTTCTGCCACTAAATAGCAGTGCACCTGCACTCTTGTGTTGCGGTCTATAGCTGTAAAAAACGTAAATTTAAATAATTCCGCATCGTTACTTGCGTAACGATGACTCCTATGACAGTGTACAGTGCACGTGGATTAGTTATCTAACGTTCGTCCGAACAGGGGGTGGCTCTGGCGGCCGTCGTGTCGTTCGATGTTCTGGGCGGTGAGAACCGCCCAGGGACGCGGGTGTACGGTGTACGCAGTGTGCAGGGTGTGCGGCGCACGGCTATCAGTGTTTGTGGCACTGGGTGAATGTGTAGTGTATGTGTGTGACGGGCCGGCGACATTTGTGTCGTCGGAATCTAGCGGAACTGGAGGTTCAATTAAAACGTTACGGGGCCTCCGGAGGCTTTGCTTAACGTTTGGAGTCAGGGCGTAGAAAAAATTGCACCGTCAGTGTCTCCTTTTAATGTCTCTCAATATGTATAGAGTGCAGTATAATTACGGACTATAAGGCTTTCCATCTTAGTCTTCAGAAGTGATAACGCGGGTGTACACTTATTTATTTGAATATGGTTGCAGAGTTGTCCATGGAATGCAGTAGTCACTTCCTATTTTAAGTAGACTGTCAGATCGGTGATCACTTTTCAATTTTTATCAAAAAAAAGGCTGAGGACCGTGTTTTATGAAATTTCTCGAGGGGCTATATTCAACAGTAGACTTGTTAAGGGTGTAATGATCATTATGATGATGACGATGACGTCAGTTAGGTTAAGTTAAAATATCTTGTACACAGTAAATTAGACATTACTTCAGCTGAACAAGTTCTGGATCTAGTAGATTATTTAAAAAAAAGATAATTTATGAACCTATTGACAATTAATTAGTTTGTCTAATCATAGTGGAACCGACTTAGATGATGTTAATTTATTAAATCCATCCGCCCAAAAATCCTTCTTAAGTTGGAATCACTTGATTAGATTACTTTATTTAGTATTTCTTTGATCCTCCTTCAGCAAATTAAGCAAATAAGTTTAAAAAATTAAGTTTCTGTAATTTAAATATTTATCTATATATATATATATATATAGTATTAATTCTGCTATGAACTAACTACTGTTTAAAAATTAGTGTGCCGTGTAATTGTCGTGTAAGAAAACCTTTTTGGACTCCACGGTATGTATTGTCTTAAAAGGATCGCAAATGTAAGACTTATGTGTTTGTGATGTTTCTTAAATTGGTACTGCAGAAAATTTAAAGTTAACTTACCGGAAGTAACAGTGTTTCATTAATTTTAAAATCTTTATTAACAACAGCTTTAATATTTTGGTCCCTGTAAAGATTAAAAAGAATTATTTGAAATTACACGTAATCCTAATAAATAAGATCACCTTTACTTAAATACTATTACTAAGTAATAAATAAAATAAGACGGAGCACGGCGTACACTTCAAGTGACACAAAAACCGAGCCAAAGCTTTGTTCAATTTATTGTAAGAACACGCAACCACGTACACATATGCATCTAAAATCATTTGCAACGTATAACATGGTTTCAGATGCATATATAAACTTTCACGGGCTGATAAAGAAATAAAGAAAAAGATTTATGCATGATTGCGTGTTAAGAACTAGAGCATGGTTTTGGAAATTTCTTAACTTAAGCGCAGCTGACATCACATATAAATGTCCTTTCTGCGTTGGTATCAGTATAAATGTAAACAATGATAAGAGAACTTACGGATCATCAATTTGATCAAATTCTGTGTTACCAATAGAACAGTAGTACCGTAAACTTTTAGATATATCATAATCCGTTGATATAGTGTTTGCTGAAACAATTTTACAAATGGATATAACTTCACAATAAAAATAATCTGAAGAACGGTTGAACCTGCAGGCCATTTTTGGAACGTTCGATCTCAAAACGATCGACAAATACTTTTAGAACTAACAGTTAACTCATTACATCAAAAACTATTACTTATACTAATTAAGTTATTAACAAAAACGTTTTTTGTTTTTTTTTTTATTATAACTATCGAATGCATGAACCGATTTTGATGTAATTGGTGGCAATCGATAATCAAAAAAACGATTAGTATATAAATTAAAAAGTTATGTGAAAATAACACTTTCCGAAATTTTTCGCCATCGATTTCTCTTCAACGCATTAATCGATTTTATAGCAGTTCTCAGCAATAGACGTGGTTTTTCATGTTTAAGAGCTGATGGAGTTGATTGCTATATCTGTTTAAAAGTTATTCCAATAAAATATTTTTTTGAAAATGTTATTCTTGAGATTTCTCAAAATCTATCTACCCAAATCGGTTAAAACAGTATTGAAAATGTAAGTTTGTTAAACCATTTCGAACGCCACCAAGTTTATTCAAATTGGTCAAGCCGTTCAAAAGTTATGAGACACATACATATAGTCATAGTGACATCCTCGTAGGAATAGTCAGAATAGCTTTCTAGGACCTCAAAACGTCGAGATCTGATGAAACCTCGATTTTCGAAAACTGGGTTGAAACCAGTAATTTCCCGATTTTTTGAAAATCATTGATCTTCATAGCGGCAAGTTAAAAATATGTCGATTATTTTCTAGCCGAGTTCAACTGTCAAAATAGGTGGTAGGACCACGCTGTTTTTTAGGATTCTATCCGGGTACGTCAGCTTTAAGGGTCTTTGTTTGAAATTTAAAAATGGCCGCTAGCTTAGCGTGATGGAAAGCTATTTGTATACACTCAGACCGCAGGTGTACATGAACTGCATTAGCAACTTATTATCTGATGAACTGTACGTTCTGTGTGTTGTGTCACTTCAGCAGTTTTATATCAAAACAATGATAAAAAATCATGTAATGTTACATCTGATCGCATCCTTACGAATAATAATATCAACACGTACGTGACTGGTTTCTGATGATGTTAATGATATTAGAATTTTGGCTTTTACAGCTTATTAGGTCTCAGATCAGTATCATTATTGCAACGTATCAAATTCCAGTGTTGAACATAGGTCTTCCCAATAGATGATAAATATTACCCATCGTTGCGACGCTTGGCAAGCGAAATCGTTAGCAGGAAAATGCTGGTACTAAACTATAAATATATAGTATACCGTATGGTGGCAGCGTAAGACATTCCATTACTCCTTTTCGTACCGTAGGTGTCTAAGATACAGAGCTAGATTTTTTATGGCTTCCGATAGATGGCGGTATTATCAACTCGTTTACACTAGACTTAAGGTACTCCGAGTGTAGATGGGAAGCAACTTCTAAGACGCGAGAGGTTTAGTGTTACAATCGCCAATCCCAGCCTGCCATGTGTGGAGATTAAAGCAAATCCACCATACAAAAGTATGAAAAGAATTATGTAATACTAGGTTGACCAAAAGATTTTTGGAAACGCAATGAAGCTTTAGAATAAATATTTGTAAATTGTATTTATTTTTCACGGTAATCTATATAAATATTTTTTTTTATAGAAGAGGGGGCAAACGAGCATGCGGCTCACCTGATGTTAAGTGACTACCGCCGCCCATGATCAACCGCAACACCAGGGGAATTGCAGGTACATTGCCGGCCCTTTAGAAAGGAGTATCCTCTTTTCTTGAAGGTTCCCAGGTCGTATCGGTCCGGAAAAATCGCTGGTGGTAAACTATTCCACAGAGAGGTTGTACGCGGAAGAAAACTCCTCTTGAAACGTACAGTGGTGGACCGCCAAGCATCCAGATGATGTGGATGGTATCGCGACGTTTGCCGCGTAGTGCGTTCACGGTATGGGCCAGTGAGTCGTTCTCCCTGTGCAGAGATGGAAATGATGGCTGACAGAAATTCCCCTTGACAGCCTTGGCGAGAGACCAGAATGCACGGGTTCCAGAAGGAAGGCGGACTAGTTTCTCGCCAATTCTGCCTATGTGCTCTGACTTTGCCTTGGCAATGACTCTTTTGAAGGACCTAGAGGCGGAATTATACTTCTTTTTAGAGCGCTGGTGTTTACATCTCGAGACGCTGATGCGTCAGCCCAGGCTTGGTAGCACTGCTGCTTATAGCATGATACTATTTTACAGGAGCGACCAAACCATGGCTGAGATTTGCCTCCAATGGGCACCACAGAGGAAGGAATAAAAAGTTCCATACTCTGAAGTACCACATCAGTGACAGAATCCGCAACAACGTTGGGATCGTCCGGCGAGAAGCAAACCCGCCCCAAGGGTAGGATGCAAAGAAAGACCGCATCCCATCCCAATCGGCTGACCTATAGTGCCAAACACGGCGGCAGCCTGCAGATTGCAACTGCGATTTCAGCGTGAGTGGCACCACACTCCGAACAAGATAATGGTCCGAGGAGCCCAAAGGGGCGTCAACGGAAATCTGATATCCGTCCGGGTGAGAGGTCAGCAAAAGATCCAACAGGGAAGGTGCATGATCCTCCACATCTGGAATCCGCGTAGGCGAAGTAACCAGTTGTGTCAGACCATATGCCAAGGCAAAATCATGAACAGATCTCCCCGCATGATCGGTTAAACGTGAACCAAGCCATTCGGCGTGATGGGCGTTAAAGTCGCCGAGGATCACGATCTCTGCGGAGGGGATCTGCTGTAGCAACGAATCTGTACCCATTTGGACGTGGTCGAAGAGTCGATCTGTTTCGGCATTACCGCTATGGGACCTATAGAGGCACCCGTAGACGCGCGGATGGTCGTCGCTGTCTACGCGTAGCCAAAGGATGGACAGGTCCGAACCTTCAAGTCTGCCGAGGTGTCGAGAACAGATGTCCTCTCTGACGTAAACGCAAACTCCAGCCCGAGGCACAAAGGAATGTTCCAGTTTGTACCCCGGGCAGGAGAGATACAAGACATCAGCCGGAGAGGACACCTGCGTCTCGGTCAGAAAGAGCAGAGCCGGCCTTGCCGTCTCGAGATGGTAGTGGACGGCGTTTAGGTTAGAGTGAAGTCCCCCTGATATTGCAGAAATTCACGGACAGCGTGGCAGGGGTCGCCTTGGTTTTGTTGCTCCGTTTGCCCCGAGAAGTTGTATTCTTGAGCGAAATTTTGCCCCCCCCCCCCCCCCCAAGAATACGCGGGGCAGCCTGAGCACCCACACTCAGAAGTGGAAAAACATGATCGTGGATGCTCAGCGAGGGATTCTCCTGCGGTGCTGGTACCCTCCTTTAATTCCGCTACCATGTTGATGGGGGGGGGATTTTGGCCTCCGGCCACCTGCACTCACCAGACGAAACGCGGAAGCAGAGCTTCCACTTCACGCCGGCATTCTATGAGGTCGTGGTACCCCCCCGGTTTGAGCCGGCCCATACGTGCAACAGCAAAGCTGCCGCGTGGCTCTATGATTAATGATGCCTAATAATCTCCGGTTGTTGTCTCTCCTTTACTTAAATAATTGATCATTATTATACCTTCCGCATCCCAGAAGACAGAGGCCAATATTTTTCCGGCGGACGCCTTGAATCTCTTGACTCACGGGGAAAACAGGCTCTTCCACGTCTTTCTTTTATTTCTCGTGTCAAAATGGGGTCAAAATGGTTTACCCACGTTTCATGTGCGATTACAAAATGAATGCAAAAAGCATCTGGATCTTCTTCAATTACTACGAAAATTAGCTTGAAAATGTTTATGTATATGCTGCTTGCTTTCTTTTTGGTGCCAGTTAACATTCGAATAACCCAGCGCGCGGCCACTTTGTTGAATTTTAAGGTATGAGTTAAAATAAACCGAATTTTTCCAAACAAAAGACTTAGAATCTCTTCGATCTATCTTAAAAATTTCTTCGATTTTTTTAAGGTTTTACTGCGTTTTACGTATTTAAATTCAGCGCACCAGCATGGCACTGTAGAATATTAAGATTGTCTGCCAAAGTAGACTGCAGTTCTTCAAAAACACTTTTTGTAGAAAAAATTTCAGGCAGAAATGTTAAATAACAATGGAATCAAATTCCAGTCAAATGAAATTTGAAGAAAAAATTGGGTATAGTTTTTATTTTAGCTTTTGCTGACCTTGGCTACTTAGCATTTAAGATTCGAAAAAAAAATAGAACGCATTTCTATAACTCATTTATAAGTGTCCTGTACCGAAACCTTATTGATCAACCTTATACATTCTACCTAGAAACCTAAGGGACGATAAGGGTTAGTGGATAGTCTTACACCGCCACTACATGGTGAACAAAAATATACCTACAATAAGAAAAAAGAATATATAAATATAAAACACCACACACCTGTCTTTTTCGGCTTCATTATGGTTTTTAAAGAAAAAGTTGAGGTAGTTGGAATCGTGGAACAATAATTTTCGAACCATTTATGAGTGTTCTTACTTCGTAATTTTACCTCTGTGAAAATAAAAAATAAATAAAACTAATATAGTTAAAAAAAGTTAGACCAACTAGCTCGCTAGCTTAGTAACACAACCTTGTTTATCACTTGCTTTGAAAAACTAGCCTCGGGGAACCTCAGCACAGTAGAGAAGCACTGGCTATAAATTACAATACCACCTAGTACAACTATAGTTAATGATTAAAACTACTTTTACGGATTTTATCGCGTTTATTTTTACTTTTTATTTTTAATTCCCGACGTTTCGGGCGCTTTCCAGCACCCATGGTCACGGGGGACTGAGATGACTGACGTCCCGATGTCATTGTTAAACCTGGAGTACCTTCAGCTTTTTTAATTATTGTTTATGGTCCGATCTATGCAAAATGAACTGACTATGTCCTAGGTCTTGCAGTGGTATGCTTGGGTTTAGTTTTAATTTTATTGATTATAGGATCCCAAGCAGGTGGTAGTACCCAGCCTCCTTCTCTATTGAAATTAGGATGTTTTTTAATTTCAATAGCTTCACGTATCATCCTTGGTAGGAATCGGTGTTCTTTCGCGAGGATTTGTGTTCTATCAAATCTAATGTAATGTTGTTGGCCGTCTAGGATATGATCACAAACTGCAGACTTTGTGGTCTATCAAATCTGATGTAATGGCATTTGTGGTCTATCAAATCTGATGTAATGGTTGGGGCCGTCTAGGATATGATAACAAACTGCAGACTTTGTGATCATATCCTAGACGGCCCCAACCATTACATCAGATTTGATAGACCACAAATCCTCGCGAAAGAACACCGATTCCTACCAAGGATGATACGTGAGTCTATTGGAATTAAAAAACATCCTAATTTCAATAGAGAAGGAGGCTGGGTACTACCACCTGCTTGGGATCCTATAATCAATAAAATTAAACTAAACCCAAGCATACCACTGCAAGACCTCAGGACATAGTCAGTTCATTTTGCATAGATCGGACCATAAACAATAATTAAAAAAGCTGAAGGTACTCCGGGTTTAACAATGACATCGGGACGTCAGTCATCTCAGTCCCCCGTGACCATGGGTGCTGGAAAGCGCCCGAAACGTCGGGAATTAAAAATAAAAAGTAAAAATAAACGCGATAAAATCCGTAAAAGTAGTTTTAATCATGTGCAATGTTCGCGTAAATATAAGAAATCATTAACTATAGTTAATGTTAATATCCCCAGATTGTAACTATTAAGATGACATTCGTGTCGTTACCTTGAGGTTGTAGTATTGCTTAGTCCACTCAAAATGGTAATTTGTCGTTAAGCAAGTGATTTGTTTTTAATTTAAAGGAAATTTTACCTCTTTTATTAACATATTCTTGCATCATCATCCGATTTGAGCTATATTTCAAATTCCAAGTCTCCAACTTAACGGGAAGTTAGTTTAAAGTCAATTATTAAATTTCACTTGGAACGACAAACAAACAAGAACGTGATGTAGAAGTAAAAACGTGGTAAAAAGTAAAAGAATTTAAAAATTAAAAAAATAACTTTAACAAAAAGTAGCTTCAAAAAGCACTTTAAAAAAACTAAAAAGAATAGAATAATTCACATCCGGACTAATTGCTCAATTACTAAATTTCACTCCAAACGACAGACAAACAAGAAAGTGACGTAAAAATAAAAACGTGGTAAAAAATAAAAACCAAATTCGTAAATTAAAAAAAAATACTTTTAACAAAAAGTAACTTCAAAATCCATTTTAAAGAACTAAAAAGAATAAAATATTTACATCCGGAATAATTTCCTAATTACTAAATTTCACTCGAAACGACAGACAAACAAGGAAGTGACGTAGAAGTAAAAAGGTAGTAAAAAGTAAAAACCAAATTCGAAAATAAAAAAAATTACTTTTAACAAAAAGTAACTTTAAAGTCCAATTGAAAAACTAAAAAAAATTATTCACATCCGGAACATTTGCTCAATTACTAAATTTCACTCGGAACGACAGACAAACAAGAAAGTGATGTAGAAGTAAAAACGTGGTAAAAAGTAAAAACCGAGTTCAAAAATAAAAAAACAACTTTTAACAAAAGCTTCAAAGTCCACTTTAAAGAACTAAGAGGAATAAAATAATTCACATCTGAAGTCGCTAAGCTATTTGTATAGAAAAATTAAATTCTCGACTTCAGAAAGCGATCTTTTGTTAGTTCTCTAAAGTCGGCTTAAAATTTTTGTTAAATGTCATTTTTTACTCTTTTACTCGTAAGTGAACTAAGGAATATTATAATCTCAATGTCACCAAACAGTAACATTAAAAACGTCTTCCCTTACTTTTACACCCACAAAATGTATATGGAACCACCTCTGAAGTGTAAACAATTAAATTAAAAAATCTTTAAAATAGAGTCAAAATTGGCAAAGTAATCGCGTAACATATATGTAAAAAAAATTTAAAAAAACTTACAGTCGAATTGCGAACCTCTTCCTTTTTTGAGATTCAAGATCTTTTTCTGTCTCCCGTAAATAATTATCTTTTTGGAAATTTAATAATACGAGTATTGTATTTTTTTAAATATATAAAAACTAATGAACAAAATATCTGTTTTTGATTTCTAAATCATTGTATTAGAAAATTTAGTATCTGATGCTGTGTCTTTTTCTCTACCTTGTTGGTCTAATGGTCGTATATGCGACTGCTCATGCGAACCTGGGGTCGAATCCCGGGTCAGGCCAAACTCGATGGTTGAATGTTACTGGCAAAAAATCTTAGTAACTGCCGGGAGTTAAGATGTTAGCGATGTTTCACCCCCATGCGTCGAAAAGCACGTAAAGCCGTTGGTCCTGTACCTTATCTGCCGCCGTTCCCATTATATTCAGATAACCGCCTCATTAGACTATGAGAGTTAGAGAGTAAAGAGTGCACCTGTGCTTGCACATACACGCGTTCACTTTAATTATATCCTGCGCAGATGGCTAGTCTCTGATAATGTTGAGACTGGCTTCCTCGATCTAAATTCGACCTGGAGGACATTATTATAGCCTAAGATATAAATTTATATTACTATTCTCGTTTGTTGTTGCAGCCTGTTTTTTCTGTGAATCTCCATTTATTCCATTGCTGTTATTGTGATCATCGTCGTCAGCAACTTCAGCAGTATTAATTGGAGTTTCCTTTTTTTGATCTAACTGTTTCACCTGTAATCGAAACAACTCAGTTTGGTTCCCCTTACGATCACTGACATTTAATAATAGTTGTCTTATTAACTAGATTATAAAGCCCATTTCTTTTTGAGAGTCCCATCTTGGCAGGGAACACACACTTACCTATTTTTGTTTATTCTGGTCTGAGGTAGTGAAAGAAAGTATTATTATAGCCATTAGCTATACATTATGTGTTATATATTATCCTCTTTGTGAAGTTAGTAACATATATGACTAAGGTAGTCACAGTAGCCAGTTACCATCAACAGCCTTCTTTTTCTCTCTCATCATCTCGCTTAGCAGGCGGGTTGACTATCGCGGTAACAGACCTCTAGCGTCTTTGATGTTGCCTTCCCTAGCCTGTCTTAGTATTTTACGTCTATCGAAAGCCATAAGATCTTTTTTGCTTACCCCATCGCCTCTTATGATACCTACATCAACAAATGGAGCGATGGATTTTGTTAAGCCGCCATCATTCGTCTGGTATGTTAATCCGTCTTCTATTCCAAAGTTGTAAAGAAAACTACTTACCGTATCAATAATTCTTTTTGACCCAGTTTTAAGTTTGTGTAGACTGTTAATTGATTTTGTTGAAATTACTTTTTTATTCTTGCAATCTGTCTTACTTGATTTACTGAGTTCTCCCTTCATCCATTCCTGTTGGCCGATGTAAGCAGATATTCTGTAAATTCTAGCGGTTTCGTCATCATTCTTTTCATTTATTGGACTCTTTTTACTTTCTATTATAGCGTTATCGCTTTTGTCCTTTTTTCTCCTTTTATGATTAATGGTATTAGATGAGGATGATTTACTTTTTCCAAACAATTTTCTCAATAATGAACACGGTCCAAAGTTGATGTCTGCATAACGACAAAAACAAAGTCGACGTATGTGTTTCATACAGTAACAGGTACTTCTACTCTCTAGTTTATCTTCGCTAGGCTTATCACCATTCCCAGCTTCACTTCTTTCCTTCGGTTCTTCCTTTTTGATAGTGTCGTCTTTACTAGGTTCCTTTTGTGATTTTTCACTTTGTTTACTATCATCGAATGAGCGCCTCGGATTATTGTTGGAAGCTTTACTTGATTTCCTAAAGCAAAAACTTTTGCAATAACTAGAAACGTTTTCCGGTTGAAATAAATAATTGTGATAACCACAAAAATTGATTTTATTCGCGAAAACTTGTGTTATATTTTTCCTGTGATAATTGCTTCTACATCGGAAAATCTTTTTATACTGCTTTCGTAAGTCTTTGCCATAATCATCAGGGTCTACAATTTTTGAAATTCTTATTGAACTGGTATTGAATTCAATGTTATAGTAATTAGTACGTATGCACTTCGTTTTATCTTTAATTTTGACTAGTGGAATAAATAGATAACTTAGTAAATTTCTACTGGTCTGAAATTTAATTTTTGAAGGGACTCCTAGTTGTAAACTCTCAGACGAGAGATTTACTTTACGAATACGAATTTTATTAATTTTTTTCGACAGATAATCGGCAGAGATATTACGTCTCAGTCTTTTTCTAGATATATTTCTTGCTCTTATCTTACATTTTCTTTTATATTTAAAGTTACCCCCCGAAGCTGCAGATTCTGAATGTCTTTTTGAATCATATATCTCCTTAATATCCCTTTTAAAATAATGAGAAAATATTTTTCGAATGGGTTGCACCTTCTGTGATACCTTATCTTTGGTGTTTTCAATCTCAGTTTCAAAACTTTCATCGTGGAGTTTCTCGTGACAATAAGGGCAAGTGTGATGATTATTTTCTCTCTTATCGTGAGTTCCAAGTGGTGTAATTTTGTATTTCATTTTAAATAGCTCTCTGTCATAGCTGGCAAACTTTAGGTGTCGAACCATATTTGCCTTTCTGTAAAATCCATTTTGCGTAACCGAAATTGAGTCTTCATCGTCACTGCATTTCGAAAAAGGTAATTCTTCTTCTAAATAACTATTTTTCGTTTGAAATATTAACCATTGATTGTTAGTATCAGGCTCCCTTTTTGGTAAAAATGTAAATCTTGAACTCGTATTTTCACGCTTTCCAAAAAAATTTTGCTGTAATAAAATGTTTTAATGAGTTTTATCGTATAGTAGTACATGATTGCATGATGATCTACATAACACGTACATGTATGGAAAATGGCTCACTCAAATTTTATTTTGGATGCATAAATGATTCTTAAACAAAATTAACTACTGCCGTAAAAATATAAGAATCTATTTTTCAATATCCATTTAATTAAGGAAGAAACTAGGTGGCAGTATTTTTACCGACAAGCGAACCACTGCTAAGTTGCGCTATGAACAGTATGGAGAGAGCCCGCATGATCAAAGGTTGTGATGTTCCACTTACGATTTCGGGGTTGACAACGCAATTGTGGAGATATCCTTTCTGCATAACACTATTTACTTAACATTATATGGATTATTAGCTCCGTCTCTTTATTATTTATAAAAAAACCAATTTCCTATTTAGGACTTTCATTTCATATTTAAGGACACTCATTTAATAATGTGGCTTCATCTTCTTTAACACTGCCCCTCCCCCTCCCCCCATTGTACAGAGGACTTAAGTTTTGACCTTTGACGCAGCTTTATGCTGCCAGTCTGGGTAATTACGCCCAGCGTTAACAAGATGGTGATAACCTTAAGATCATGTCCTTTCGTTGCCAAGACGAACTCAGATGGACTCTCTTTCAATCATACGTTACCACAGTATAACAAGTTAGATATTAAGTGTGGTTTATTATAAATGATTTTGTAAACTAATTGATGTTTGTGAAGATAAGTTTTAGCCATTGTTGCTAGCAAAATATTAAATATGATACTTCAATAAGAAATATAGTACGTGAGGGTAGTTCTATAAGTAGATTTTTCAAAGTGTTTCTACTTATTGCCAAATTTTGTTTGTTTTTTTTTCTTAATATATTAGTTATAGTATACCACTTCGTCATTTTGTCTCTGTCCTCCTCCTGGTTTTGGTTTCATAGGGCGGCAAAGATTAAGGTGACCATATTACACTCACGTACCTTAACTTATTGAATGAGTTATTTGTTAGTACTTAATGTATGCTAGAAGTAGAACGAAAATGTCGAAATATTAATGGACAATAAGTCATACCCGAAAGACTGCAAGTTGGCCCAATATAATTAGAATGAAAATGTATTTTACTTTTTATGTTTTTTAATTAGAATGAAAATGTATTTTTAGTCATAAATATTATTATTTACACTTACTATTTGCTTAGAATACTCATCATCTTCGGACTCCATATGTTCGTTGAAATCTTGACTATCACTACTACTGTCTTCAGAGGAACTTCTAAATATTGATGTATTTTAATCAATTAAATTTTCATCAAAATTAAAAAAATACACTGTTCTAATAAACTCACTCATTAAATTTCAAATAAAGAATAAGTATCTTTGGGTTTTATTATTTTAATTGACAATCGAGTCTTGTGCCTCTATATAAAGAGCTTTAGTAAAAAGGCCAAGAAAGAATTCAGTTGTCAGCAGAACAGCATTCAGAAAAAAATATTTTCGGTCCATCCGTCCGTCCATAACAACCCATAAAAAGTCACTGCTGTACATAGGTCTTCCCCATATATTGCCTCTTAGGGAGGATTTTGCCACCGTTGGCACGCTTGGCAGGCGGGTTGCAAACCGTAGTTTTTAATTATTTTGATAGTTAGGTGTTATCAGGAAGATGGAGCCGCAATACTGTCACAACACAGTGTCGTTCTTTTGGTATATTTACTATATTGCTGAAGTGGTAGAGCGACTTTGCTGTTGCACCCGTGGGCCGACTCAAACCGGGGTGGTACCACAATCTCACAGAAAACGAACGTGAAGTTAAAGGCTTTGCTTCTGCGTTTTGTATGGTGAGTGCAGGTGGCCGGAGGCACAATCCACCACCCCCGGCTATCAACATGGTAGCAGAATTAAATGCAAGACTACCCCAGGAGGGTACTAGCACCCCTGGAGAATCCCTCACTGAGCATCCACGACCAAGCTACTCCACTCCTGAGCATGGGTGCTCAGGTTGCACCGCGTATTCTGGGAAGGGCAAATTTCCGCTTGAGACTAAATCTGCTCGGGGCAAACGGAGCAATAAGTCAAAGGCGCCCCCTGCCACGCTATCCGTGAATTTCTGCAACATTAGGGGACTTCATTCAAACCTTAACGCCGTCCACTACTACATGGAAACGGCAAAGCCGGCCTTGCTCTTTCTAACCGAGACACAGGTGTCCTCTCCGGCTGATCTATATCTCTCCTACCCGGGATACAAATTAGAACACTCCTTTGTGCCCCGGGCTGGAGTTTGCGTGTACGTCAGAGAGAACATCTGTTTTTGACACCTCGGTAGCCTTGAAGGTACGATCCTGTCCATCTTATGGCTGTGCGTAGACAGCGACGGCCATCCCCGCGTCTACGGGTGCCTCTATAGGTCCCATAGCGGTAATGCCGAAACAGACCGACTCTTCGACCACGTCCAGATGGCTACAGACTCTGTGAACAACAGATCCTATTCGCAGAGATCGTGATACATAGTGATTTTAACGCCCACCACGCTGAATGGCTTGGTTCTTATTTAACCGATCATGCGGGTAGATCTGTTTACGACTTTGCTTTGAAATATGGTCTGACACAACTGGTAACACCTCGGCTATGCGGATCCCAGAGTTGGAAGACCATTTTCACATGCACCTTCCTGTTAGACCTTCTGCTGACCTCTCATCTGGACGGATACCAGCTCTCCGTCGATGCCCCTCTTGGCTCCTCGGACCATTGTCTAATCCAGTGTACGGTTCCACTCACGCTCTCATCGCGGTTGCGTACTGCAGGTTACCACCGTGATTGGCATTATAAGTCAGCAGATTGGGACGGGATGCGATCTTTTTTTGCATCCTACCCTTGGAGGTGGGTTTGCTTCTCGCCGGATGATCGCAGCGTTGTTGCTGATTCTATCGCTGATGTGACGCTACATGGAATGGAACTTTTTATTCCATCATCTGTGGTACTTATCGGAGACAGAACCCAGTCTTAGTTTGGTTGCTCCTCCAAAATTGCACTAGGTCATAAGCAAGAAGGCTACCAGGCCAGGGCTCGCACATCTACGTCTCGGGATGCAAATACCAGCGCTCTTAAAAAAGAAGTACGATTCTGTATCCAGGTTCTTCAAAAAAGTAATTGTCGAGCCAAATTCTGAGCATATCGGCAGAATTGGCGAGAAACTAGTTCGTCTTCCTTCGGAAACACGTGCATTCTGGTCTCTCGTCAAGGCTGTCCAAGGAAACTTCTGTCAGCCATTTCTCCCAACTCTGCGCAGGGAGAACGACTCACTGGCCCATGCCGCAAAGGAAAAACCCGATCTGCTGGGCTCTCTCTTTGCGTCCAACTCGACTGTTGATGACTGGGGGAACACACCACCGACCCCATCCCGCGGAGTGAGTGCTTCATGCTGGATGTCTTGTTTAGCCAATGCTCAGTGCGCAGAGCACACCTCTTCCTGAACGTCAAGAAATCGAGTGAGCCGGATGCCGTCTCTCCTATTGTGCTGAAGACGTGTGTTCCGGAGTTGGCACTGGTTTTAACGCATCTTTTTCAGTACTACCACTCTCTCAGTGTAGTCCCAAAATCATGGAAGAAAGCCTTCATGCACCTGATCCCTAAAAAAGGTAACTGCTCTTATCCGCCCAACTACAGGCCTAACGCCATCACCTTCTCGTTCTCTAAAATAGTGGAATCCATTATTAACAGCCAGCTCATGCGGGACCTAGAAGATCACCAGCTGATTAGTGACCGCCAGTATGGTTTCCGTCGCGGTCGCTCAGCTGGTGAATTTCTGGGTTACTAAACTAATAAATGGGCGGAAGCAATAAAGTCCAAGGGGGAGACGTTGGCCGTTAGTTTGGACATAGCGAGGGACTTCGATCGGATTTGGCACAAAGTGCTTCTTACGAAGCTCCCTTCCTATGGGCTTCCCGAGAAATTGTGCAATTGGATTACCAGTTTTCTTGCTGATCGGGGCATCAAGGTCGTAGTAGACGGTGCGTGCTCCGATTACAAGCCCATTAATGCTGGTGTTCCACAAGGCTGCGTGCTATCACCAGCGCTGTTTCTTCTGCATATCAATGACTTGTTGCAAACCGGTAACATTCATTGCTATGCAGATGACAGCACTGGTGATGCATTATACACCGGCCGTGCCCATATTTCTCGGGAAAACGTCGCAGAGTACCGAGACAAACTTTTGTCTGTAGTCGAAACTTTGTTGAACAAAGTCTCGGAATGGGGGCAAGTAAATCTAGTCCATTTTAACCCTCAGAAGACTCAAGTTTGCGCGTTAACCGCTAAAAAAACCTTTTTTCGTATCTCCTCAGTTTCAAGGCACTTTCCTTGTTGCCTCAGCCAGTATCGGAATCCTCCGCATCGACATATCGAGTGACGTGTAGTTTCGTGGTCACTTGGAAGAGAAGGCCAAATTGGCCTATAAAAAGCTTGGTGTGCTCAGCAGATCGGGACAGTATTTCATGCCGGCTCGCCGCTTGCAATTTTACAAGGCGCAGGTTCGGCCGCACATGGAATACTGTTCCCATTTCTGGGCCGGGGCATCCCAGTACCAGCTCCTTCCATTTGATCGCATCCTGCGCAGAGCTGTTGGAATCCTTGGCGACAGAGCTCTTTCCGATCGGCTTGGCTCACTGGCATTGAGCCACATCGCACATTGCAAAAAAACTCGCGATACCATTCATACCATCTGGATGACTGGCGGTCCACCACTAAGCGATTTAAAAGAAATTTTCTTCCTCACACAACTTCCTTTTGGAATTGACCACCACCAGACATTTTTCTCGACTGGTTAAAAAGTAAGGCCTTAAAGGAGTAGGCTCTTTTCTTGAAGGGACTTAGGGACCTTCAAGAAAATAGCCTACTCCTTTTTAAAAGGCCGGCAACGCATCCGCAATTCCTCTGGTGCTGCAGTGATCACTTGGGCGGCGGTAATCGGTAAGTTACACTTACCATCAGGTGAGCCGCCGCAAGCTCGTTTGCCCCCCTCTCCTATAAAAATATTACCACTGTTATAAACATAAACTAAATAGTAAAAGTAAATATCATTATAATTTCTGGTTAAAACTTATGCTTTATATATCGTATGCAATGAAATCACACTTACTTTTCCAAACTAACGTCGCTCAGATCTCCATAGTCAACTGGAGACAAGCAAATAGTACAAAGTTGACCCAAATCATTAAAGCATTTGGTGCAGTAGACTCCTGGACATTTTGGTGTATCGCATCTAGAATTGAATGCAATAGTATAGGTTAAAAAATTTGGATGTGGCTTTTTTGTTAAATTCTATATAACATTATAATGTCAAGCAAAGAATGCTCAGTTTAAAACCATAACTAGGCTCTTTCCCGGAATATCTTATCTAACCTAAAGTTATGGTAACTTTGTAAAATATGCTGTTGTCAGCGGTTGTTTTCAGGCCAACAAGACATACCTGATTATTATAGTAAAATAACCTCAGGCTTGTCCTTATGAGGTATTAAGCAGGGCATAAATTTACGAAAAAAAAAAACATTTATGAATTAAAATACTGGATTCACACACGAACTCACGAGTCGTTTCATTTTAAGTCATTAATAGAATCAGTCGTTACTTTGCGGAAATTCATTATAATAAAGATATTAATAGTTACTTCGCAACCATCCGCGCAAAAAAATAAAATGATGTGTCTTACTTAGTTTGAACACCACTACTTCCAACACCACTACTCTAGGAAAGACACACTATGCTAACCGCTAAGAACTCACTCACTCACTCATTTAGCGGAACTCTTTTGAGTGGATGGTTGCAAAGCTACTCTTAATATCTTTAGTATCAATTTAAGTCGCCTTGAGTAACGGGCACATGGTTTTTATTATTTTATATTTAATCTTTTAATATTTGTCATTTTAATTGATGAAGGACTTTTTTATAGGAAAAGGATGATGCGAGCACGCAGTCCACCTGATGGTAAGTGGTTGCTGTGGTCCATAGACATCTACATCTATCCTCGTTTGCGAATCAAAATACAGATGTGTTGTCAGCCTTGAGGACTAAGATGGAATGCCTCTTTTCCAGTAAAACGGGTCTCCGGTTCTCTACACTTACCATACGAAACACAGCAGCATTAAGCCGCTATTTGACGCTAGTATTCTGTGAGAGCGTGGTTCTTCCCCGGTCGAGCCGACCCATTCGTGCCACAACTATACAATTAATACAGCCGCAGCATGGCTCTACCACGTAAAGAATTCTAGTCTGCCTAAAAGTCTGTTTTGTAGATATCATCCTCTTGCCTAATTCCACCGTCAAACAGCAGTACTTGAACTGCTGTATTCCTGTCTGAAGGGCATTGAGAACCAGTGTAATTACAGGCATTCCATCTTAGTCCTCAGAGGAAAAATCATCTATTCCTTTCTTTATTTAAAGTTGGTTGCGGATGTTTATGAACTGCAGTAGTCACTTACCGTCAGGGAGACTGTAAGTACGTTTGTCAAATCAGTTTTATTAAAAAAAAAATGTTTTTGCGAACATTTCTGATATAAGTAATTAAATGGATCGTTATGGAGAACAAAGCATATCTTGATTACAGGCATTATGAAATTCTAGAAAAGAGTTTTCTGAAAAATTTCTTTCTTTGAAACGTACTCTGAAGTTACTTAGGAAATATCTGAAATGAAACAAGTGGATCTACACACGATTATCCTACAACACCGGCTTATAAACTAACGAATATTAAATTAAATTTTTAAACGATCAACTCATACAGACGCAGATGACTTTTCTATATTAAAACATTTATTACTTTGCAACCTCCCGCTAACTAAATACAATGATATGTCTTACCCGAATTGAAGAGCACCTCCAGTCCTCCCTCAATTGCATGCACTAACTCCGTCACCACTAGTCCCAGCACCACTACTCCCAACACCACTACTCCCGGCACCACTACTTCCAACACCACTATTCCAGGTAAACACACCATCGACGACAATACGACACGTGTTTCGCCTCTACACGCATCATCGCTCAGGCATCAGGCATCCTTAGGTGATGTAGACTCTACGGCGGCTGACCGCTAAGTGTAAGAATTAGCGGTCAGACGACACATCATTGTATTTAGTTAGTGGAAGGTTGCGAAGTAATATTTTTTTATTATAACGGATTTCCGCAAAGTAACGCCTGATTCTATCAATTAACTTTTCTATACGTTTTAGTAATACTAACTTCACAAGCTTCGCAACAACATTGTTAGGCTCCTCTTCAATTTCGCAAAGTAAACAGATTGGGTCTTTCGGAAGAGTTCCCAACAGATACCGAAGCCACCAAAACCTATAACGATTAAAGTATATTTTAATCCCATCAAATATGAAAAGTTTTTTAAAGTTTGATACAAACGACGTTCGGAGTTGTCGGCTAAGGGTCAGTTCACACAGAGACGCGACGCAACGCGACGCAACGCGACGATGCTTGAAGAGGCTAGTGGATTCGCACCCCACATCGCGATGTCTCAAGGTTTATCGTGAAGTCGCTGACAGCGCGCCGGCTAATAGTAATAGAAGAAACAAATCGCAACGACGATTACAGGCTGCCCCTCGCGGCGTCTCGCTGGGTCACGCAGCTTCGCGCTAGGCATACCGAGGCATTGCGCGACAATCAGGGCATTTTTTAATTATCTCAATAATAACCTTTTTGTGTAGTAAGTAAATATAGTTATATTTTGTATCACTATCTTAAAAAATGCGCGCTGCGTCGCGTCGCGTCTCATCTCGGTATGAGCTGACCTTAAGTCGATAAGAGTTAAAGAAAGAAATGTAAAGTGGCGTCACGTTCCATTACAGTTGCTTAAATCGTAGGTAAAGTTCTTGGAACTACATTTGATGCATTGAAGTCAACTTCGTAGAAAAATTACAAGTGTCTTACAGTTTTTTAACTTGAAATGGTTCGCGTAAATTTACACATTGCCGGTGCGCCGCCTCTTTCTTTTACGAAAACGGTGAAAACTCTAGGTGTAAAAACTAAAAATATTTAAAATACATAATTCAAAGCAAGCGACCGCAAGAATAACATGATTAAATTTTCTCCCCTTTCCACCCACGGATAACCAGATGTTCGACGGGTGTGCTTTTTTCGTCGAAATTCCACGCCTTCTAAACGGAGTGGGATAATTTGCTAGCATTTGTCTTTCCATACGATTAAAACCACAAGATTAGAGCGGAACAGCTTATGTTACGCCAAGATATATTAGCGGGGTCATAATTTCACACTTCATTTAAATTTACCGTTTATATATCTTATCGTAACCAAAATGAAAGACATTACGGAAGCCTCAAAAAAGCATCTAAATACCGCATTATTTTCTCTGTGTGCCACTATACTCGTGGGTAAACCCTTCGTTTGTGTGCGTGTATTGTGTGACGCTTGTATGAATTTTTGTTGTTACGTATTTTATCGGCGAGGGTTAAAACAACTAGATAGTGGCACTATTTGATGGTTACCAAAAAAATTTTTATATTGTACACGACGTCCAAATTCTCCAGTAATACACCAATATCGTTCAGAGCTAATACTGGACGTGGTGACTACATTCTCGGCAAATAGATAAATTTTTAATATGATATTATCATTCAATAAATATTGCGAACGGAATTATGATCTTATATAATTGAATATTTTTAATAACTTATTGAAATCACTTATTTAACTTTAGGTACATACTATGTTACATTAACTTACTGTTACGGTTACCACATGAGTAGACAAAAGAACAGGCAAAATTGTTACCTATTTTGGTAGGGTTGTCACAATATGTGAAGACAAATTAAACAAAACATTTGTTAAATAGTTTTATTATTCAGTCTGATAGAGTACATTACAAATTACTTACTCTAATAATTATCATTTTACAATTTTTGTTTTTTAATAATTTATTGTTTCTTTTAATGGTGCGGTAAATTCTGAATCTAAAATAAAGTTTACTATAGCTGTTAAGAAGTTTCCTCGTGAGGAGACTAAACGATTATCAATAATACCACGTTTTTATATTGTCTGTGGGCCACAGCATCCACTTACCATCTGGTGGTCGTTTTTCACTCTAATTCTATATAAAAAAAACAATATCAGATGAAGCGCTGTCCTATGGGCTTTAAAACGAGCGCTAGTGTCTTTTCAAGGCTCATGACCATAGCTACGGCAGGATTAAATTATCAAAAATATTTACCTACTATAAATAGAGGTGATTGCGTTGTGAAGAAAAACATAGATAATCATAATAAAAACATTATTAGCGTATTGAACCGATTGAGAGAAGTGAAACTTAAATTAAACCCGATTAAATGCGAATTTTTGCGTAGAGATATTGCGTACTTAGGCCACAAAATAACTTCGGAAGGTATTTATCCCGACCCAACTAAAGTCGAGGCAATACCCAAACCCGACCTCCGCTGAGGAAGATATACGTTTTGTCGCATTTATCAATTATTATGGAAGTTTTACTGAAAATTTCGCAGATTTAGTTCATCCCTCAATTGTGCAAAAAAGTATCAAATTCAATTGGAATAAAAAAATGTGAAAAAGCCTTTCAAAAATTAAAAACCGCTCTTTGCAGCCCTCCAGTTTTATATTGTCCCGATTATAGCAATCAGGTGGACTGTGCACTATATTATCAATTTTTAAGTTGCAAACTGATGTATCCCAAACCAGCTTAGAAGTCGCATTGTCAAATAGCAAGCTTAATAAGAGCTTAAAAGTTAACTTTTTAAATATTAACTTTTTATATTTTCGACTGGTTGTACCGAAGCACACTTTGTATTTGTTAGTTTTTCTCATTTTGTAGTTAGTTAGCCGGTACAACCTCTCCTCACTTCCGTCCCCTTCCCGCATGGGCCTGCCTAATGGGGGTGCAACATTGGTGGCCTATGGTCATCTTGTTCCTCAAATGAGAGGCGCGCTCCGCAAAAGTGAAAGGAGGCAGCACGCCACCGGCAGAACGGCAGGGGCAGTCGAGCCACAGACCCACAGTACAGTACAAACTTTTGACGAGGCCGCAAGTCAACCTCAGAACAGTAAAAGCTTTCGTCGTGACCGCTTGCCACAGTGCAATACAATTCATCGTGGCGTTCAAACAGTTAACCCCAGTGCATTTTTCGTCGCGCATCGCCTCAATTGCAACACAGTTTCGTTGCCTCAAGGCCTTAGAAAGAGGCCGCTAGCAGCTATCCCAGTTAAGTGCCTGTTTCTTAATCTTGGGCTGTATTTATTTTGTTGTTCCCTTTTTCCGCAGCAGCTCATGTTTCCGTCGTACCGGCTAATATATTAAATCGAATTTTTAGCAAGTATATTTGTCCAAAGACCGCCACGTGCCACGTCCACCATTTTGTTTTAGTTCAAAACGAACCACGCTGATACAGTCCATCTAATCGTTCAACCCACAATATATTTAGTTATTCGCGCACTATAATTTGGTGATCATCCGTCCCGGAATCGAACCAGGGATCCACCAACGACATTTTGACACTGAGGTGTTCGACGTCCCGCGGTTACCCACAGATTAAAATCATAAATTTTTGTTCCGATCTACACAGTATGGACTTATAGTATCTTGAAGCCTTGCAGTTGTATGCTTGAGTTGGAATTTAATAATAACTAAGTTACTGTGTTAAGGTGGCTGACTTAGCGGTCAGCCGCTGTAGAGTGTACATTACCTGAGGATGCCTCGTGTAGAGGCGAAACACGTGTCGTATTATCGTCGATGGTGTGTCTTTCCTGGAGTAGTGGTGTTGGGAGTAGTTGTACTGGGATTAGTGGTGACGGGATTGGTGCATGCAATTGAGGGAGGGCGGGAGGTGCTCTTCAATCCAGGAAGACACATCATTGTATTTAGTTAGCGGAAGGTTGCAAATTAATTAATTTCTTTACCATTTTGTTTGTTTAATGAATCGGTCCAAACGCATTGGTATAATAAGTCTATGGCAAGACAACAATCTTCGGGTCCCGCATCTACCTCAAAGTGACCGACTGAAGCCGGCCACAGTCGAGCGTGAGCCTCCTGTACTACCATATGTCAGAGGAGTCACTGAAAAGGTTGCCTACATCTTGAAGCGAGCTTCCATTAAAACATACTACAAGTCGCCGAAGAAGATTCGTCAATTTTTACCATCCATCAAGTGTAATATTCCTCTACAACGTGCAAGAGTGTACAAGCTAGATTATGAATAAGGTATCTCTTACATAGGATAAACAAAAAGATCTATAAAACCCCACGTGAAAGAACATATAGCTGACGTGAAGCACTGACACTGCGGGAAGTCTGCAGTCTGTGAATATTTTCAAGATCATCCCCACCATTATATCAGATTTGATAAACTACAAATCCTCGCAAAAGAACACCTATTCATTCCATGGATGATTCGCGAGGCTATTGAAATAAAAAAAAAAACATCCTAATTTCAATAAAGAACATGGCTGGGTACTGCCATCTGTTTGGGATCCTATAATTAACAAAATTAAATCCAAACAAGGATACCACTGCAAGACTTCAAGATACTGTAAGCTCGTTCTGCGAACAAAAAATTATTATTAAAATACTGAAGGTACCCGGGCTAACTATGACATTGGGATGTCAAACATCTCAGTCCCGTATAAATAGTTTTATTTAATGAGCACTCGTAGCTACAAAAAAACTTCTAATACAACAAATTAATGAAAGGATACAGAATATGATACCAGGATAAAACTACCTGATAAATCAATAGACACAATGATGAATCAAGACGAAAGTGTGAACTTTCCAACAGAATTTTTAAATTCACTGAATCGACCTGATATGCCTCCGCAAGTATGGAAGCTAAAATTGAATCACCATTCATATTGTTACGAAATCTCAAATCGCCAAAATTATGTAACGAAAAAAACCTCACGCTCTCCGACGGGCACGGAGGTGTGGCTTGAAGGCCGTGCATTGTCTAACGATGGTCTAACGTCGTTTCTTTTTCCTCAGTCTTCGACACGGTGTTTGTGTATAAAGTGTTTTGAAATTTTGAATATGAATAAACAAAGTGCATTTATTATTAATGAAGAAAGTCACGAAAAAATAGTGAAATAAAATGAGTGAGTACTCTATATACATACCTACATTTTATTATTATCACAAATGCAGTACTAATTTTGAATTGTAAATATAATACTGCTATAAAGGTAACCTAAATTTTTGATATTAAAATGAGCGATATTAAAAGTAGCCCTCTTTATATACACAGAAACACACACACGCGTATAGTTTAAATTCTCAATTTAGATTCTCAATATGTATATATATACTCGATTAATCGGACTATTTGTTGCCGTTAGGGATTCGGATAATCGAAAATCCGGATGATCGAATGTATGAAGAAAAGCGGGTTTTGTGCATTTGTAATACATATGTATATACATAATGTTATGTGTTTATTAAAAACAACAATTTCAACGAAAATCAATGTTTATTAAGAAATTACTATTTTTTAATAAACATTGATTAAATTCCATGAAGAGATATAAATCTATATAACCATCCGTTACTTGCGACAAACGAGCCGCCGTCACCTAATTTTTTATTTAACTGTAATGCTTTTTCACAAAGCAAAGGGCCAGATATCATTTGCCCAGTTGATCGTTTTTGTAAAAACCAACAATACAAAGCGTCTTCTAATTGCCAATTTACTCGCGGACGTAGGTCCTTATGTCCGGGACGGGGGTTTGTTAGCGCCTGATAGTAGATCGTCTTATCTCAAGCGGTGTGAAGCGACGATTAGTGAGGTGCGGGAGGCTAGCTGCATTTGTGCGCGCGGTCGGTCACCCCTAAAGTTGGGCGTTATAACATACAACAGATAATATATTTCATTATATATTTTTAATCTTACAACACATTAGAATAATGAACCATTGACTGTTATAATATTATATTCATTATCGTTAGAAAGCGTCATCTGTTTACGTTTACGGTCCAACCGTCGCGTCGGCCGAGACAATGGGAGTCAATAAAATACTACCTACATTCATTACGCCACAAGGATTGCGTATAGCTTACACTAATTTAAACTCTAAGCTAACTTAATAAGAGCTTATTTTACTAACACTAAATTATAACGGTAAACAAAAATATATTATTTCCTTCATTAGTTGCCTGTTGTGCCTGTTATTTAATTTGGCTGTTGTAATATATAATATATCAGTTTAGTGTTCAGTTAGCTGTCTAGCTGAGATGATAATGACACTGTTATCTGTTAAATTATATACGTAATGTTTTGATAGCAGGTCCCCATATTACGTGAAAAAGCTATTGTTGTTTTTGTTTATTTTTCGTTAAACAAAACGCGAACACAGCCGACGACTGAACTGAACTAACCGCGTGTACAATGTAATATTTAAAACTGTTATAATATATTATAACAGTTTAAAACAACAGTTAGAAAAATATATTACAACAACATAACGAATTAGAAAAATATAACAGTTTCGCCCACCTTTAGTCACCCTGTTGGCATCGAGCCGAGCTAGCAGACGGCGGCGCCTGCGCCGATGACGTTTTCCGGTCGCATTATAGGGGTCGCGAGAGTTTTTGCGCGAAGCCGGGTTGTTCATATGTTGAAAGTCTCCTTGTTTTGTCTTAGACTTATGTTAATAGAGCGTGCCATTTGAACTTAAAGACAATTAATTGGACAATAAATAATAAGTGACAAATCTTGCCGTGGAGCGTGGAACTGAGTAGTTGCGCGTCTTGTTAATATAATTGCCGTACGGCCGCCCTGACGTATGTACTGCGCGAACCTGAGTTTTTTTGCGACGCGGTCCGGTGATACAGTATTTTTCACAAATAGTGAGTTCGTTATAACGCGGGTTCGGTTAAATCTGGTTGAATTTGATTGGATTAACCTAAGTAACTTGAATTAATATCAAAGAAAAAGAAAGACTGCATAAATAAAATAAATAAATAATTATAATTGCATAAGTTGATACAAAATGCTATGCAATAGCTTTACCGCGGCAGTCCCCGAGTGCCACACATCTTTTTTTTATATTTCTCTCTGTATTTTTTATTAAGTTGTACAACTCCGGTTTTAGCATGGTTTCTTCAAATTCATTTCCTTTTCGATGGCGCCAGGTATGCATGTCTGCTTTCTTTGTATTGGACAATGGTGCAGCATAGAGTTGTTTGTTGTGGTACGATGCATTGTCGACCACCACGACTGCATTAGGCGGTAAATTCGGCAACAGCTTAGTACGAAACAACCACTCGTAATTCTCCGAATTCATATTTTAATGGTAGTCGCCGTTTTTTTGTACCGGCTTTGAACGTCAGCAAAGCATTCAGCACAAAACCTCCTTCAACACCCGCGTGCACAATGACGCTGCCCTACTTTTAGAGAGAGGCTTTTAATGCCTTTGGTGGGACCGTCTGTCCAAGAATGTTGAGACTATGTGAACTATCGACGTATGATTCATCAGTGTAAATAATTTGTTTGCACACTGTTTACAAATAAATATGTATTAAAATTTAAAAAAAATTTATGAGCGTTAACATCGATTTAAAGTGTAAAATGTGCACTTTTGATCAGTCTATTGTCGCAGTTATAGCCCTATTACACTACCCTGATTCAGGGTGGTGTAATAAGAGAAAGGTAGTAGTAAGGGTCCCTAATTAGGGCGTCAAAGTGGACCCGGTCTACAGTACCCTTCCACCGTGCAGTGTAATAATACTAAGGGAGTTAGGGCACTTATTCGATGCGCGACTAGATGCAAGCGATACATCAATTATTTCAAACATCGATATATCGTTCATAAACATGGTTCTTCATGAGCGATGTTTTATGAACGATGTTTTGGCTTGCCGTCAAAGGTTACGAAATAACCAACTATTCGAAAGTATAAAATTCCGTATGAAAGTTACAAACGATGATTATCACAAATTTTATGTTCGCAATGTTTATTCGAAAAAGATGTGTAAATTTTTAAACTTACAAGGTTTAAGAGTATTTATCAGAAATAACTCAATCCCGAAAATTTTAATTACGAATCAACAAACAGGCGAATCGTCTTTCAGCCGTAAATAAATATACTTGAACTTCTGAAGTACAATTGTCTCCAATCGGTAATTCCATTTTCGATGTAAAATTGTAGTTATTTTTATTGTGATAATTAATTAAGTTTAAAAATATTGAAAATGGATTAAAATTGTTTTATTCATTTTCTTTTTTGTTTGAGCTTTAACTTAATGAATAGCTTAATTAAAGTCTTATAAGGTAATAGTTATTTTGTAATGGAAATTATTTTATCGGCTTACGGTACTTTGTTTTTCATTACAATCATATTTTTGAAATATTGATTTTGATGGATGAACGGTTTTGCCTGTTTATATTGCGGCATTGTATAGTTTCGTAGCTGTATTTTTTTATAAGATAGTGTGACGAATGAGCACACAGTCTACCTGATGGTAAGTGGTTGCTGCGGCCCATAGACATCTACATCTATCCTCGGTTACAAATTAAAATGCAGATGCGTTGTCACCCGTGAGGACTAAGATTGAATGCCTCGTTTCCAGTAAAAAGGGTCTCTGACTCTCTACACTCACCATACGAAACACAGCAGCATTAAGCTACTATTTTACGCTGGTATTCTGTGAAAGCGTGGTCCTTCCCCGGTCGAGCCGACCCATTCGTGCTACAACTATACTACTAATATAACTGCAGCATGGCTCTACTACGTATAAAATAATTCAGAAAATGCGATAATACTGAAGGTAAAATTTGGAACTACCATAAAAAAATTAATACACCACATCATAAGAAATAAAACTAAAGCAGAAGACAAATTTCATATATTACATGTGGGATATCATGAAAGGGTTACTTCCCGGGCTTCATAGCCTAGATAAGATATATTGGCCTATCGTGGCAACTTATTTTCAGAAGCTGGATATACAATGGATATAAAATGAAATGGAAGCTGAGATATACAATCGGCCAGGAGAGATTTAAGATTTAATTCGAAAGATATAAACGTAAAAGTAAAAAACTAATTCTTATTTTCAGACAATTATTCGCCTATTGTACATACTTTAATTTAGTTTTAACTGTACTTGATGTTTCTGTATTGTGGTGTACAAAAAAGAATAAATAAATAAATAAATATTCGATAAAATTAAATGTGTAAAAATAAATAGTGTTAAACTTCCTAAAATAATATAAATATTATACTTCTTTGTTTCATTTCTGTTCAAAATGATTATTAATTCCATATATAAGTACGTATATATTTAAATGGTGATTAAAAACATCGAAAAAATGGATATATCGTACATAAGCTTCGATGTTTTTAATGAGCGATGTTGCATCCTATAGATGTGCTTACTCGGAAAAATTACGAACTAGAGTTAGCAGAACGAAACACAGTAAATTATTTACTGCAAATACTTTTAAAATATCGATTCAATAAATATAGATACTTTTTTCACTTATCCATCCCTATGACTAAGGGCGTAAAATCAAGTTAGTGTAATAACTGACGTCCCTAATTAGGGGCCACACCCACCCTTCATTCAGGGACCTGATTCAGGGTGGTGTAGTAGGGACATTCCTTCTCTTTCTTTGCGGAAAGAGACGGCCTGTAAAGATTCGTTGTGAATCCGTTGTTATTGCCTTGAAATAATCTTATTTTATGTAATATTAAAATGCATTTGTAACATTTATTTGTTGTAATTTGTATGAATAATAAGCGAATTGGGTTTCTAGTAGTAATAACATGACGTAAGCGTTTGTATGTGTTGTCCCGGCGACACAGGTTCTCGTACAAAATAAGGTTAGCAGCCATTCTATTGTGTATTTTTAGATATATGCAAACTTTGGATAACTTACGGTAATTGGGAATCCAACCACTGCACGAAAGTGGGATCGTCTCCCTTTAAATATTTGTATTCTCTGTGCAACTTCCGTCTTGCGAATTTCATAAACCCACCTTAAACAGAGTAAGTAAAATAAAGTAACATCCTTTAAATTATGTTCCACAACTGGGTAAAAGCCTTATTTTTTAAACGAAAGTTACAAAGAAACTTAAATTCCACCTGATGGTAAGTGGCTACTGTACTCCATGGATACCTATAGCTAACTTCAAACAAAGAAAGCCACGCCCATCTTAGTTGTGCATGACACTCAAAGCCGGAATTATACTGACTCCCTAACTCTCGATACAGTTCAGACCGGAATAGTGTACTCGTTACTATTTGGCATCAGAAACTGAAAAAAAAACCAGACGGTTCTTTACTAAGGAGTCTTACCATTTCTAAAACAATTTATTGAAGTATTAGAGGGAAAGGAATGTATTTTGGAATACTGCAGGCAATTTGGAATAGGAGGGTTTCACAGACACCGGTAGCGCCACCTCGTTTTAATGGCCATTAAACAATAAAGATAGGTACCATTTGTTGATATATTTACACGGTTAGTTCGCCAAATTTCCAAAATGCCAATCAAATACCAAATTGTAAAGGAGTGTTTTTGAAATTTTTTGAGGTACGTATTTAAACAATTTGTATCGCCACAATTTGTTATGTTTAGGCGGTTTAGCTTTATGTATACTATAAAATGGACCATAAAAAGACTTTGATTTCAGTACTTTGTGAATTTATAAATAAATGACTCGAGGGTATATTCGACCACGTCTTGTTGCTTATTTGGAGTACCTTATGTGATGGTAATTTGGAATACCGAAATGGTATTCTAAATAGCGTTTAGTCAAGTTACGGAACGATTTTAAAGAGTTGCTCTTTATGATATCATTCGCATTTATATGTCTTACATTTTCTTCTAAAACCATGGCGTAATAATACCTAACATAACTCAGTAATGCATAGTAAATATAATTAAGAATACCTCTATTCCAAAATACCTGCATCACATGTGATACAATGATGCAGGTATTTTGGAATAACAATACTGAATTCTGACATTTTGCGTTCAACCTTAAATTTTACCTAGTACCCCACAATAATAATGATTAGTATTATTGTTATTGTGGGGGTATCTATATAGTTTTCTCATCTGGTTGGGTTCTATAAATATACATAATTATAAATGAAAATGAAAAGATAAATGTACATAAATATCAATAAAATAAAATAAATATAAAAATACATAAATAAATAAGAGCCCAACCAGATAGAGGCCCTCGGCAGGGGAGACCAGACGGCCGAGGGTTAGGGGGAAAGGGAAAGAAACCGGCGGACGATGCGGGCGGTATCGAGGAGCACCGCCTTCTGCATTTGAGCCCGGAGCGGTCCGTCACGTAGTCCCAGTCGCCTCAGATGACCCGAGAGGCTGACTGGGATTAGCCCGTTTGCAGAGACGACTACAGGAATAATTTCGGTCGGCACACCACCCCACATGTCGGTCACCTCGTGAGCCAGGTCCAGATATTTTGTTTGCTTGTCTGTTTCGGCTTTCACGAGGTTCTCGTCATACGGAATGGTAATGTCGACCAAAAATATCCTTGACTGTGCCCGGTCCGTCAGCACAATATCAGGCTTATTCGCAAGAATAGTCCTGTCTGTGATGATGGCCCGGTCCCAGTAGAGCCTGGCGCAATCATTTTCGAGCACGGCTTCCGGCAAGTACTTGTAATACGACAATTTCCGGTCCACGAGACCGTATTTCAGAGCGAGCTCCTGGTGAAGAATTCTGGCTACTAGGTTGTGCCTGTGCAAGTTCTCAGAGTTAGAAAGCGCCGAACAACCGGAGATGACATGCCTAAGTGACTCCCCGGGATGGCGACAAGCTCGACAGATGTCGACGGTGACATCCTTTAGGATGTATCTCCGATAGTTGTTGGTCTTAATAACCTGATCCTGTATTGCACAGACAAAACCCTCGGTTTCCCCGAAGAGGTCACCGAAACGTAGCCAGTTGAGGGAGGCGACTGTATCTACGGAAGGGCTCATGTAGAGCCCTGTAGTACCTCCCGTGGAGCTCTTTCTCCTTCCATACGGTCTCCCGGTCGGAAATGCTAAGCACTGCTGGGTCCTGCCATTGCTCGTTGGCTAAGGATAGAGGGGTAAGTCCTTTATCACTAGAAATGACGTCATTATAGAATGGATCATCCGATCTCGCCAGGAAGTAATGACGGAGGCTGCACACTTCGCGATTATGTATGGTGAGCGCGCTCAGAAAGCCACGCCCACCATGCTTTCGCGGCAAGTACAGCCTCATTACCGACGATCTCGGATGATGCATCCTATGGGACGTCATTGTAGTGCGGACTTTTCTATCCAGGGCGTTAAGTTCAGTCTGGCTCCACCTGAGTATGCCAAAGGTATACATGAGGACAGGCATGACCCAACCGTTATATGCGTGTGTCTTATTCACACCGGACAAAAGGCTGTTAAGCACTTTGGTCAAGCGTGCATAAAACACGTCGCAAACTGACTGTTTCATACCAGCCTCATCAATACCGATGTTCTGTGACATACCCAGGTATCGGTATGTTTCAGCCTCGGAAAGGGTCCTTAAGTTGACGGGCATAGATAAATCTATGCCCTCAGAGTTAGCAACCCTTCTCCTTTCAACATGGAGGACCGCACACTTATCCGTCCCCAGCTCCATTCCAATGGAATTGCTAAATTCACTTCAATTAACGGGAGACGCCCAGGCCCGGCACCATTTCATTGCATCATTGTACGGCCGTAAGCACAAACGGACCTTTGCACCCTGAGTACTGCCGAGGCACGGCGCTCACACCTCTTGGCAAGGCGCTGACTGACTGCACCGACGTAGCAGTTTTGTCACTTAACTGTTTCGTCAGCGGGCGATGGGGTTGTCACTTCCCTACGCCTAATTACGCCTTATTATCAGTATTATTATTAGTATTATTTTAGATAGCTCGTAGATTGATAGTTTATGAATTTTGCTCCAATTTAATAAAGTTTTATTTCCTTAAACCCTTTAGAAAAAATTACACAGGTCTAAAACAAAATGGTATACCAAGTTACCCTCCTTTCCAACATATTTATTAGATTATGCGACACGCTGCTATTTAAGATAAAATGGAAAGTGAGAATGATATAACAGTAGCTATGGGCATTTGTTTTGATTTCATAGATTAAGGGTGACAAGCGAGCACACAGTCTACTAGACGGCAAGAGTATGCTGTGGTCCATAGACATCTATATTAAAATGCAAAATGCGTTGTCACCCCTGAGGTCTAGATGTAGTCTAGTGTAAGATGGAATGCTTCGTTTCCAGTAAAAAGATCTCCTTTTTTCTACACTCATACGAAACACTAACATTAGGCTTTTATTTCACGCTGATATTCTGTGAGAGCGTCCTTCCCTGTTCGAGCCGACCCATTCGTACTACAACTATGATATAGCTGCTGCGTGGCTCTATATTCAATTGGTGAGCATATGCCTCTTCCAAGGAATATCACAAAACAGGGGCTGAGATACCTGCATCAATCAAATTCCTGCATCTCTTACCAGGTCATCAGTCTAGTGAAAGGTCGCCGTACCCTTCGCTTACCAGTATGAGTGCTACTCAAGATCCCTCATCCCCATTAGTTGTCATTTCTTCGAGCTATATGCCGGCCACATTACCGCTTAAGTCTCCTGATCCTCTGGCTGTACTTTACTGCGAATAACCTTATTACGAAGTGAGCAACTTATTTTTCTGCATTGGTACAAGGAGGCTACTAGGCTTTCAACTTCATAGCATTATTTACACCGCATCGCTTCCGCTGTCTCAAGGGGCTAACTTATTTGCTTTGCTTAGTAAGGCCGGCCACATACACTCGGAACTCCGTTTCGAGATTCCATTTTGGAATTCCGTTTCGGGATTCCGTAAATATGTCACATACACACGTACATACCCTCACACATACATACGGACATCATCGCAAAAATAGCCAGAATAGCTTTCTAGGACTTCGAAACGTCGATATCTGGTGAGAACTCGATTTTCGAAAACCAGGGTGAAAACTAAAGCATTTATGGTATATTTGTCATCATAGTGGCTATGATTGACAGGCAGGTTGGTAACCTCAATTTTTTTAAAACTAAGTAATTGCCGGGTCCCGTCATTTTAACCCTATAAAACCTTTATAAGTGAGATACAGAAACTTTTATAACAGAAAATCATTTTTCACTCGTGAAACTCTATAATTGAGACTGCTATTTGCCCGTACCTCTATGAGCACTAGTCGAGGGTATTTAACATCTGCTATTTATGACTCATTAGTAAATGTTTCTTTTTTCATTTATTTTGGCAACAAACAGTCATATTTCTTAATATACAGTTTACATTTACATTTACACGTGACAAAAAAAGACCAAGTAGTGCCAATAAATATACATTAACAAACCATATTCTTTACATTGTGAGACAACATAGTCGGGCGACAAATTTTACTGCAAAAACTTTTTTAAGTTTGTTTTAAGAAGATTAGAACTAGTGCTAAAAATATCTATTTCTGAAAAATGATTGTTATACATGTTGGTGGAACGACATTTATAAGAGTTACGTGTATATTTTTTGTGAAACCGTGGAGGAATGAATAGTGGTAACGAACGTGAGGAGCGTATTGGAAGACGAACGCTTGCTGGAAGTGAAAACATAGACAAAAGAGTCGGTGAATCTATTAATGAATTTAGAATTTTATATAGAAGAATAATGTCAAACATTTTGCGTCTGTTAAAAAGATGAATAAAATCTGAACCCGCGCTTATTGATATTAACTTTTTGTAATTCTTTAAGAACTAATTCAAAGCTTATATCATACATAAACACTCACGCCTGTCACCCAGAGGGGTAAGCAGAGACTACAGACTTCCATTTAGCACGATCTTGACATACCTCTCTCGCCTCTTCCACATCCATATACTTACGCATACATTGTTAAATTTATATCTAAAGTTGTATGTGAACTTTGATTACTCAGGTAATCTTGGTGACTAACATTGCTGATGGTTG